CATATTTAGACAATGGGGTAAGTTCAGTGCAGACGGCATTTTGAATCTACGCTCTTTACGGTAGATATAAAGAGTAAAGCTGTTCATTCAAACCCTTTGTGCAAAACAATTCTGATGCTAAATTTTTATTGACAAATTTTAACATTCCCACAACATAGTCAAGTACCAATATGGAAACAACCTACGAGACTGTTGAAGCAGTGTGTCTTCGAGTACAGTGAGATCCACTCACAGATAAACAACTAGTAATTCAACTGAAGAACAACATTGTACGACATTGACATACATAATAATAAGAAATACACTAATATTGAATTTATAGATACAGATGAGGTTGTATAAAGGGTGTTTCAGTTTAATGTTGCATAACCTTAAGATTCGATAGAGCTTTTAAAATTAATGCATAAAGTCTATATAAACATGGGTCGAAAAATGCGTGGCTTCCGCTTCGGTGTTTAAATTTACTTTTTAAAATAGTTTTTTTTAAATATCTCGAACAATATTTGATGTATAACAGTGAAAATTGGTATACAAGGGTTTTTTGGTACGATAAAACGAACCATAGTTTTACTGTAGCCGCTAGATGGCGCTCTCTACTGTACCTGTAGTGTATTAAAATGACCTAAAATTTTTTCGTAGTGCAATTTTTGGCTTTTTGAATAAAAAAACTCATTCTTCGCACTTTTCTGCATAAAAAAGCTCTCCTGTGAGTTTTCGTTATAGTTAGCCGTTTTTGAGATATTTCGATTTTTAAGGTTCGATGCATTTTTAATTATTTATGGGAAAATAATATTTTTTTTACATTTTTGATTTGGGCATTACAATAATTAAGATGATCGTTTAGATTGTGTTTTTAAACACAGCAATAATTCCTAACTCCAAATAAACACAAAAAACAGAATATTCATTTATTTAATTTTCCAATATCATTTTTAACAAATTAAATTGATTATTTACAACTAAAATGCTATTGGATAGTTAGGACAAACATACAAAATCTAAAGTAGTTGCTCGAAATGTAAACCCAATTGTTCAATACACAATTCACATCTACGAATGATCGAACGTGGTATAGCATTATTCAAATAAGGCCTTGTTTCATCACATGCATTCCTGATTCTGTCTATTAGCATATCTCTTGTGGTTACGGGAGTCTGGTACACTTTTTCTTTTAGAAATCCCCACACAAAGAAATCTAATGGATTTAGGTCAGGGGATCGTGGAGGCCAGGCGACTGGTCCTCCACGGCCGATCTATCTTTCTGGATAATTTTCGTCCAGCCAGTTTCTAACTATTCTCGAATAATGAGCTGAACAACCATCAAGCTGGAACCAGGCCAATCTTAAATCTAACATAACATCATCCCACATATTTGCATGTTCAGCCTTTAAAAATTCCAAGAAGGTCGCAGCATTTAACCTTGCAGGCAAAAGGTAGGCTCCAAATAGCCGATTACGGTAGATACCAATCCACACGTTCACGCTAAATTCATGCTGAACATTTCTTTCCCGAACTGCATGCGGATTTTCATGCGACCAAATATGTTGATTATGAAAATTTACCACTCCACGTCTAGTGAAGCATGACTCATCGGTCCATAAAACGTTACTTAGAAACTCCCGATTATTATCAGTTCTATCAAGAATCCACTGACAAAATGTGATTCTTCGTTCTCCGTCCCCTGGCTGTAGTCCTTGCACAGGTTGCAAATGGTAAGGACGTCTATGGTCATTTCTAAGTACACGGTGAACATGTCTTGCTGAAATTCCCAAGGCACCAGAAACTCTCCTAACACTTGTGGTCGGATCTCTATCAAACTCACGCAGAATCATACGGGTAAATCTGCGCTGACGAACATTTATGTTTTGACCCCTTTGGAGATTTCCAAAACCATTTTCAATTATTTGACGATACACTCTTACAAATACTGAGCGAGTTGGATGTCGTCTGTTTGGAAATCTTCGTGCGTATTCTCTGGCTGCTTCTGCTGCGTTTCCATTTACAAAGCCATACACAAAATGAATATCCGCTAACTTTTGATTGGAGATAGGTAAAAGAAACTAAATTTCGTGCATTCACAATTGCAAAAAAACGTTTCAGGTTTCAACAGACAACAAAACTAACTGTCAACTAATTGACGTTTAACCTTATTCTGCTTTCAATTTCAAAAATATTTGCAGGCACAGCCTACTTCTAAAAATTGTCGAGATACTGACTTTTTAATCTTATTTTATCATAAATTATTAAAAATGCATCGAACCTTAAAAATCGAAATATCTCAAAAACGGCTAACTATAACGAAAATTCACAAGAGAGCTTTTTTATGTTGAAAAGTGCGAAGAATCAGTTTTTTTATTCAAAAAGTAAAAAATTGCACTAAAAAATTTTTTTCGGTCATTTTAATACACTACAGGTACAGTAGAGAGCGCCCTCTAGCGGCCACAGTAAAACTATGCCCATGGTTCGTTTTGTCGTGCCAAAAAACCCTTGTATACCAATAAATATTGTTCGAAATATTTAAAAAAAAACTATTTAAGAAAGTAAATTTAAACACCCTGTATTTCGGAAGCCACGCATTTTTCGACCCATGTTTATATAGACTTTATGCATTAATTTTAAAAGTTCTATCGAATCTTAAAGTTATGCAACAATAAACTGAAACACCCTATGTATACATATTATACATAGTTACTTAGGCTTGTAAAGAAATTGCCCTGTGTAAAGTAGTGTGAATGAGCTGCTTTCATGGGTGTCGATAGGAAGAAGCACTGAAAAGATCTCGATAAGCTATGTATGAACTACATCCATTAGAAGTCGAATTCATTTATTTGTAATATATTTCGAACGTGGCCATCGAACAAACATGAAAATACTATTTCTAGACAGTTTAATAAGTAAAACTTGTTATGGCATGTATTCATACAAGCTCAGTCCAAGTGGGGTTATTGAAATAAGAAATTAAGGGTAGTTTGTTTTGGAACAAAAATGCACAACAGCATGAATTACGGCTATTGAATTCTGAACAATTTATTATACAACAATCCAAACGCATACTTTGAAAACCACAAAAAATTCTTGGTAACTTTCGACTGTACTAACTTTGGACATGGTCTGGAGGTATGCATGTTATACAAGTCTATTTCATCCGTAGTGCAGAAATTGTATAGCCGATGTCCGGTTGATGATCGCACAAACGAGAAAAAGTGCCAGCCTTCCTATAGAAACGATCATTGGTTTTTCTTTAGCATAGCTATACGAAATAATTTCTAGTACACATGTGAGTAGGGAACTTTACAATGAATCTATGTGCGCAGGATGAAATCTGAAACGGAGAATCCGAAATTTATATTCTCTTTGTTGTTCTTCAAATCGAAACATTAAGTATGTACTATATAACTGATTGTTTTCGTGAAATGTCATTTTCAGAAGTTTTTTAGATCAACCGTTTCGGATTCTCTTTTCTCACTTAACATCCTTTCCTGTTATTTTTAACGTGCATAACAGAACCTAGGTGGAAACAATCCCCGATATATAAGTAAAAAAGTCTTTTGCAAAAAAGAACGTACAACTTCTAAAATCAGTATTTTTTCATATAACAAATCACTAATTCCTTCAAAGCAGAGACCAAGGATATTCTGATGTTAATTCCTAATTAACAAATTAATTGATCGAGAGTTATATCCACTTGAGTTAGTGAAGTCAGGGGAGATGTGCGAAACTACTATTCAAAACGCCCGCCTTCTGTTGTGACGTCACATAAGAACCGGAAATGCATAACGAGGCAACATTGTTCTCAATTCCGATGAAATTTTGAGAAACAGCGTGATTTGAGTGCTATAGTACAACATTTTGTCAATAATTGAAATGAATGAAGTTGGCTTGGCGCCGTTATAATCCACATTTATCATTATAGTGAATTTTCCAAAAAGAGTTCAAGTCAGCATGTATCTTATTCATTGTGATCAAAGTCTACTATATCTGGAGACTTTGGGATTACTGATGTACCCAAAAGTAGTTCACAATGCTTAATCCAATAGGTCTTCTTAAGTATTTTGAGTTCAAGTATTGATTTGAAAAAATACAAGTTTTGGCCAGTGAAAGGAAAGAGTCATCATAATACATATAATAGTGTTTTGTAAAAATGAAGTAACAAGAATTAATATTCTAATTTGAAAATAAGTAAATTGTTGCAATGGGTGAAGATACAAATAAATAAAATTTAGCGTGTTGGAAGAAATATTGACATACATTTTTCAATACCTTGAACTTAGTCTATATCAGTGTGCGCTTCACTTGTTTGAATTATTGACGAACAGTGATTGTAGCAGTGTACCTTGTACCAGATTAATACAAATTTTGGAAGAGCTTCTGTAGTGACGTCACGGATGTTTTCAAAAAACGATATACATATCTCAACTGTCCACACGGAATTTCAGGTAATACAAACACATAGATAGCTTTTCACAGCAACAGATTAGTCTACCGACGAGGGTGGTTTTTGAAAATCACTGAAGTACCCCATCTAACCTTTTCTTTGTACGACGATCCCAGCAACTGTACCGATTTTAAATCTACTCCTTTCATTCCTTTCTTGGCGTCCTTTGCTCTCCTTTTTCGGAAGCATCTCCTTATGCAGCAGAAGCAAATCCCCAGAACGATGGCAGATATGACTTGAAAATAAATCTTGTTAGAATAGAATTTTTTCATTGTACAAAGCGATAACTTCTACCTTTTTTCAATGATAAACTAGGGTAATTCGAGGATAGATGGCGCAGAAGGTGAGATGGCGCAATGACTTTACAGCGCCACCGCTAATGTTAGAGGGGAGCAGCTGCGCTCTGATGTACTTTAGTCTATATCAGGCAAGCCGCCGCACCGTGTGTGTTCATCGGCTAAATATCTACTTAAATATTAATTTATAAGTGATCCGGATAGTACAAAAATATTTTTCCGAATTGCTTCTTAGTGCTAGTGAACTTCAAATTTAATAATAATTTTAGTCGCAATGTTGTGCCAGGTAAGTAAAAACGTTCAAGTTTTGTTATATAACCTCAAAATTGCGCATATTTCAACATGTGTTTAGATTTTGAGGTGCGCCATCTCTCCTCTCACAACGAGGATAGATGGTTCACTTATTTTTGAGGTGAGATGGCTTATTAATAATTCCTTTTCTTTTCAGCATGCCTACCAAATACAAGTGCACTGGAAGTTGTTCCAGGGCTAGTTGGACCGAACAACAGTTAGCCGAAGCCATTCAAGCCGTTAATGAAAATAGAATGGGAGTTAATGAGGCTGGTCGAAATTTTGGGGTACCGGCAACCACTCTACGAAGAAGAAAATTGAGAGAAAATGTGAAGAAAGGCCCTCTTGGACCCTCCTCCACGTTAGGCGAAGCTGCTGAAGAAAAGTTGACCAAATATATCATAAAACTTCAAAAAAACGGATTTTCTCCTACTCGAACCGATGTGCGAAGTATGGATTTCAAATTGGCCGAAGAGCTGAGCATTAAACATAATTTTAATAAGGAATTAAGATTAGCTGGTTTTCCATGGCTGCAGTTGTTTCTGCAGAGAAACTCAAGGCTGTCAGTAAGAAAAGCAGAAGGGGTCTCCATTGATCGATCCCTGGGTATGAACAAAAAAGACATTGAGGCTTACTTTCAGCTGCTAGAAAATACTCTGATCGGGAACGATCTTATGAATAAACCTGGACATATCTACAATATGGATGAGACGGGCTTACAACTCAATAATAGGCCGGGACATGTTATTGTTAAGAAAGGATCTAAGAACATCGCAAGTATCAGTTCCGGTGAAAAGGGGGAAACCATCACGGTTATAGCCTGTTGTAACGCGGAAGGCGTTTTTCTTCCCCCAACCTGCGTAATGAAAGGAAAAAATAAAAAAACAAGAGGTTGAGGATGGGATGCCTCCTGGATAATTGGTCTATATGTCTGAAAGATCGGCCTATGTCAACAGTGACATATTTTTTCAGTGGCTCAAAGATCAGTTCGTTCCCAGAAAGCCGACAGGGGTAGTTTTGTTACTACTTGATGGTCATGCTTCACACTGCAATAACGTTGACATGCTAGAATACTGTGTTGAACACAACATCACACTGCTTTGCTTACCAAGTCATACGACGCAATTTTTACAGCCGCTAGATAGATGCTTTTTCAGATCGCTAAAATTAAACTACTACTCAGCTTGCAATTTATACATTAAAAATAATCCAGGACGAAAGCTCACTAGATTACAGTTTGGAAAGTTACTTGCTGAAGGGTGGAACAAGTCTGCAACTGTGAATAATGGAGCTTCGGCATTCAAGGCTACGGGAATTATGCCATTCAATCCTTCTGCTATCCAAGATGACGCCTATTTGACTGAAATTAACATCGTACTTCAGGCTCCTCATGCAGGCAAAAATAAACAAATTCCAGAAGATAGTTCTCAAAGTTTTAACAAAGCCTTATCTCATGATGATCAACAACCTTGCTGCAGTTGGCAGACTGAAGATGATTCTGTACCAGAAAAACAAAATGAATCGGTTGTAGAAACTAATGCAAATACTCCCGTGAAAAGTACCCCCGGAAAAATGCTAGATATAATCTCACCCGTTCCAGTTGTTTCCGCTGACGTCAATTCGGTTCGAAAACGAAGCAAGCAGCTGGCAGAAATTTTAACTACAGAGACAACAATTGGTGAAAAAAGAACGCAGCGTCTAGAAAAAACAGAGAAAGAGCGAAAAGTAAAGACCAGAAAATTAAAACCGGTTTTGAAGAAGCCAAAAGTGACTAAAAAGAAAACAAGGAAAGCTGCCAAAAGCGATTCATCCTCAGATGAAGGACTAGAGGCACCGACATTGGATGACTCTTCAGATGATATGGATGACGATGACCAGACTTGCACCGGTTGTGGCGAAATATATTCCCAAACCACAAAATCTGACGACTGGGTTAATTGCATAGGTTGCTCCAAATGGTTTCACGATTCCTGCTCCAAGTTTGTGAACTTTTGCCACGACTGTGGTGTTGTTATATGCAAAACAAAGTGACATTTTGGTAGAAACACCTTTTTTTTTGTTGCGCCATCTCACCTCAGCACTGTGGGGGAGATGGTTTTTGTCAACTATTTTTATTTTTCTTGTGAATTATAAGTTTTATTTTTTAATGCATTTTACTACTTAATACATGTTTCTAAACTCAATAAAGACTCGTTAAAAAAATTAACAGTAATTCTAATTCAACATATAGAAATTTTAACATGAAATTTCAAAACCTGGGCCATCTATCCTCGAATTACCCTATACTAGACAGTTCTTGTCTTCTTAGTTCGACCATTGAAACGATGAATGACCAAACTAATCTGAGTTGCTCGTTGGTAAAGAAAACATACATAAAAACAACAATCCTTATTCATAGTAGTTAAAACTCATCCATATTGTGGTTATTTTGGTCTATATGAGTCTGATTCAATTTATCGAAAGCAGATTTTAAATCGGATGCGTGTTATGTGATTTAAACTTAAAAAATCATTGTCCTTGAGCAACACTATAGTAGTCGAAAAGTCCATAGATGAAGATCGTACTATCTACCTCTACCTTGTCTAACTCAGTCAGAGAAGCTGGCAGGGTGGTTGGCGATCTAACAAACAGACCTGAGTTGATTTAGATAATTAAATATTAAATTAAAAACAAAAAGTCAGTGAATATGAGTATACTTTGTGATACCTAATCAAAAGTGTGGCAGAGCCTGTTGCTGATATTCTTTTATGCCTTATAAATCAATCATTTAAAGATGGAAAGTTTCCTAAGCAACTAACCTCAATAACATAATTCGTACTTTCCAAAAAAAAGGAAAAATATTCCTTAGAAAATTATTAACATCCTATTTCATTTATTTGTTTCTTGCTAGTGGTGTACATAGGAGAGTTCCACAGGAAATTTTTTCGTAATTTTTGACGTTTTTTTGTGTTCTATACAGATTCCACAAATTGACATCTTATACTAGTGTAAAATACTCTTTTACTCATACAAAAGATTCAAGCTCTATTAAAATTCATGTGATATAGCTTCAATGTATACTAAGTGACATATAAATCCGAACACCCAGTTTAAATGGTTTTATTTTAATAAAATTTTGTATAAGTACTTAATGAAGCATAATAAGTAAATGATAAAAATTTCAAAATGATTGCACTGCTTTAAAGCCCTTTGACCTTTAATAATGTGTGGATGCACCCTGATGTGCTACGCATTCTCCAACGCGCCTAGGCATGCTTCTGATCAGGTGGTCAATGTCCTCCTGTGGTATCTCATTCCAGGCAACCACCAACTCCTCTCGACGTGCTTCTAGAGTCTGAGGAGGACGTTGCAAATCGAGCAATCTCCTACCCATTATATCCCACACGTGCTCAATTTGGGATAAGTCGGGAGATCTTGGTGGCCATGGTAACAATGTTACATCATTATGTTGAAACAAGTCTATTGTGACTCTTGCAACATGTGGTCGGGCATTATCTTGTTGGAAAGTTGGATCTGCCAGGGTGTCAAGATAGGGTAAAAGATGGGGTTCTAGAACTTCGTGGATATAACGCTGCGCGTTCATGTTACCTCTGATGAAGATTAAAGGTGACCTGGAACCATAAGCTATAGCACCCCAAACCATAACTCCAACAGTGTGATGGACATGTTTTTCAACAAAAAACTGTGGATTCCTCCTTTCACCACGTCGCCTTCTAACCCTGGCACGACCATCGTGCATGCCTAAACAAAATCGAGAATCGTCACTAAAGACAATACTGTTCCATTCCTGATCCCAGAGTGACCGTTGTCTGCACCACTCAAGGCGATTACGTCGGGGTTCTCGAGTTAAAGGGAGGACCCAGTGTGGCCGGTATGAAAACAAGCCAAAACTTCTCATTCGTCGGTAAACATTTCGCATGCCAATAGGTCTTCCGTGTTCTGCAAACCATTCATTTGCAATGGACCTGGTAGTGGATAAACGGTCCCTTAAGGCCAATAATCTTAGGCGGCGATCTTCACGGTCTGTTGTTCTACGGCGGCGTCCAGTGCCCCTTGCTCTTTGCGTACGGCCTTCTCGAAGCCAAGCCTGACAACACCTAACCACAGTGTCTACACTTCTTTGCACTCTAACTGCAATTGCCCGAAAAGAAGGTCCAGCTTCCCGAAGTCCCACTATACGGCCCCTATCAAACTCACTAAGTTGACGAAATCGTACAGGTCTCCGTACTCTAGGCAACGTAACCGATGGTAAAGGATGTCAAGAACCAAAATCCGCCAACGTTGATTCTTTACTGCGGCTGAAATATTCATTTTTAGAGCGTTAGGAATTAAAAAAAAGCAGTATAAAAACCGGAATGTCCAACTGATAAGGCTGAAAATTTTTTCGCTTGTTATTTACAGTAAGATAAATACATTCACCAACTTTTATTAAAATAAAACCATTTAAACTGGGTGTTCGGATTTATATGTCACTTAGTATATAAATAATCGAACAGCTTTAATACAACCGTATAGAAAATATAGGTAGTATATCGCTATACAAAATGACAGGACATACTATTGAATAAAAGCTAAATTGTATTACAGTAAATATCGTCGTACCTGCTCCTACGATAAGACAAATTATGAGATTCACTTTTATGGAAAATCTTCCGGTTAAAAATAATTAATAGTATGAGAACACATTCAACTTGAGGGATAGTTGGTGCTCATTCGGAGATCTATTTAAACAACTGCAGATATTATGATATCAAGAACTCTTATCATTTAAGTTTATAGGTAAAATAGCTTTAATAGTATGATCTTAATATTTCCCATAACCATTGAATAACGTATTTTACCTGAAGATATTCAACCAAATGCTATATTCTCGTGTCCAAAAATTTATTCGAGGTAAAATGATATATTCGAGAGAATTGAGAATTTGTATAGCTGTTCCTCTTTTTACTAAATATACATAGAAAATGTTAGTGTCTCATAGGACTCAATAGGACTGAGTCGATTTAAAAAAAATTATTACAATTCTTTAAAAACTTTCAAAATAGGCTCCTTCTGCGTCGATGCAGCGCTGCCAGCGCGATTTCCAAGCATTGAAGGCGTCACGGAAGGCATTCTCCGGAATAGCCTTGAGAGCTGCGGTGCATGCTGCTTGGATCCCCTCTGTAGTCTCAAAATGCTTGCCTTTCTTTGGCCTTTTCAGGCGAGGAAACAAAAAAAAGACCGGGGGGGGGGCACATCTGGGCTGTAAGGTGGCTGCGGAAGCGAAGACGTTATTCAAAAATTGAGGGTCACTTTTACACATGTTCAAATTTTCTTGGTACACTTCCACTCGCCGCAATTTCTGGTCATCAGTGAGCACTTTTGGGACCATCTTCGCGCACACCTTGCGCATGTTCAAATGCTGTGTCACAATGTCATGAACCACAGATTTTGGTAAATTTAACATCTGGGCAATTAAACGAATACTTAGTCGACGAGTTCAAAACTTTGCGCACATGAGTCACATTATCGGTGTTTGTCGAAGTCGAATGTCTTCCAACACGGTCTTCATCAGTCGGTACGCGCACGCTCCGAAGTACAGTCAAGGCGGAAGAAAATGAGTCCTATTACTTTCCGGACAATCCCTGTATATTGTGAATAGTGAAGCAGCTGTGACAATCTCGTAGATGACACTCAGACATCTCTTTTTATCTCGGATAATTTTATGGACGCGGGAGTATAGCATTTGGTTGGCTATCTTCAGGTAGGATACGTTAAACATTGCTACGACTAAACCTCAATTCCTGCTAAATTCAAGTAAAAAGATATCCAGTATCTTGTATTTACCAATAAGTTATTCATTTGGGTATTGTCAGAGGATATCGCATGCCTGTTAATCTATTTAGTTCAAGAATAATGACATAAGTATGTGGATCTTACAACATATATATGTAGATCTATCACACAGTAAAATGTAATATAATGCACTGAAGGACACCTACCTATTAGAATGGTAACCAGCATCCATGGTTCAATGCCTTCCTTGCGTGCTATATCCACCGCTTCTTGGACGATCCCTCCAGTCTCATTTAGAGGTTTTACTGGGAAATTAAATACACATTATTTATTACCGTGGCTATGAACGAGAATGAGAAAATATGACGACTACTGGGTTGTTTAGCTTACGAATTTCAATTAAGGACATTGTGGTGAAATAAAAGCTAACAATCGAGGTGCATCAACAAAACCATGGTTTTATGCTTCATAGCAAGGAATTTTTCCCTTTTTAAGAAAACCTTATTCAACATCATACGCGCGGTCAAAGCGTAAATTTTCTTTTCAAGAGAAAGATAACTGCGTTCACTTCAATTAATTTTGATTTTGATTCATTTTTCTGCATAAACATTTCTTTTAACTAATTCGAATAACTGTTTTTTCCCAAAACGTTTTTTAGGCTTTTGGTCCATTCTTAACAAAAAACGTTCGGATGTTAATAGTTTTCGAAGTATAAGCCATTTAATATTTGAAGTGTAAAATATGACATTTTTGGATTCGAGAAACAGCACGAAAAAAAAAACAAAGATTTGAATGCCGAAGATTCCAGATATTCTTTAAATATCCCGACGCATTTTAGTGGGTATTGGTATTGTAAATATTTGGTTTTTAATTGTTAATCAATCGCGTCCTTAATGTATATTCTGCGCGAGTGCTCGTTTGACTTACAATAATTGTAAAACAAAGGTTTATAGTAAGAAGATCCACTAGAATGCTTTGGGGATTTGTCAATGGATGTTGGAAGAATGTTTAGGAACATTGAAGTTCTCGTTTTTCATATTGTTTTTCGGGGGCGAAGATGGCACTACAAAGCTCATGCGAACGTTTTTTATTTAAAATGAGCAAGATTAATAAGAACATTCTTTGTTCAGAGTGATAAAAAAACCTCTAAAAAAAGTTTGCCTGGAGTGAAAAAAGAACTTTTGGAGTTTGATTAAAAAAATGTTTGAGCGCCTTTCGACGCAATTTTGGGCCTGGAAACAGAAACATTCTTTAAA